AGTCTACTCTCGATCATCAGTAAAGTGATGGAAGGTGTCATCAACAGTGCTATCAAGCAGCTCAGCAGGAACCTGCTCAGTGATGCCCAGTTTGGGTTCCGCCAGGGCCACTCAGCTCCTGCCCACATTACAACCTTGGTTCAAGCATGGGCAAAAGAGCTGAATTCCAGAGTTGAGGTGAGAGTGACAGGCCTTGGCATCAAGCCACATTTGACTGAGTGTGGCGTCAAGGAGTCACTAGCAAAACTAGAATCAATGGGTATCAGTTGGCAAACTCTCCACTGGTTGGCGTTATACCTGGCAGGCAGGAATACAGCTGTGGTCAGTCATCTCAGATCCAGGACATCTCTGCAGGAATTACTCAGCGTAGGTCTAACCATCTTGAGTTGCTTTATCAATAACCTTCCCTCCATCATAAGGTCAGAAGCAGAGATGTTCACCAGTGATTGACTCCTCAGGTACTGAAGCAGTCCATGTTCAAATGCAACAAGATCTGGACAATATCTAGGTTTGGTCTGACAAGTGGCTAGTGACATTCGCGCCATACAAATGCTAAGCAATAACTATCACCAATAAGAGACAATCTAACCACCATCCCTTGACATTAAATGATGTTACAATCACTGGATACCCTGTTATCAATATCCTGGGGGTTACCATTGACCAGAAACTCAACAGGACTCACCATATACATACAGTGGTTACAAGAGCAGGTCAGACGCTAGGCATAATGAGGTGACTAACTCACATCCTGACTCCCCGAAGAGTCCACCAACTACAAGGCACAAGTCAGGAGTGTGATGGAATACTCCCCAGTTGCCTGAATGGGTGCAGCTCCAACAACACTCAAGAAGCTTGACATCATCCAGGAAAAAGCAGCCCATTGATTGGCACTACATCCACAAGCATCCACTCCCTCCACCACCGATTCCCAGTAGCAGCAGTGTGCACCATCTATAAGGTGCACCCTCCGAACAATGGCTACTTCCATCTAGAAGGATATATGGGAACACCGCCACCTGCAAGTTCCCCTTCAAGCCACTTACCATCCTGACTTGGAAATATATCCCAGTTCCTTCACTTTTGCTGGGTCAAAATCCCAGAATTTCCTCCCTCATGGTTTTGTGGGTTAACCCACAGCACATGGACTGCAACAGTTCAAGAAGGCAGCTCACCACCACCTTCTCAAGGGCAGCTAGGACAGGGCAATAAATATTGGCCCAGCCAGCAATGTCCATGTCCAATGAGTGAATAAAAAAGAAGTTTCCTTAGTTTACTATTATTTGCACACTGCCTTTTAGCAACAAGACCAATTGTTTCTCTACAGTTGTGGTTAAACATGTTGGGTACGCTTTTATTGAACAAGCAATGTTGTCTCAATGACAGATGCCATTACTAATAAAAAAAATAAAAACTAGGAGCGAGAGTAGGCAATTCAGTCTCTCGAGCCTGCTTCACTGTTCATTACGATTATAATTGATCTCATCTTGGCCTCAACCCCACTTTCCTGCCTGCTCTCCATAACCTTTCTACCCATTACTAATTAAAAACATGTCCATATCCTCCTTAAATCGATTCAATGTTCCAGCACTCACCGTACTCTGGGGTAGTGAATTCACAAATTCATGACTCTTTGAGAGATTCATGACTCTTTGAGAGAAGTAATTTCTCCTCATCTCTGTTTTAAATCTACTGCCCATCATGTTTAAACCATGGCCTCTCATTCCAGATTGCCCCACATGAGGAAACATCCTTCTTGTATCGACTTTGTGAATCTCCTTTAGCATCTTATGTACCTCAATTAGATCTCCTTGCATTGTTCTAAACTCCAGAGAGTAGAGTCATAGGGCCATACAACATGGAAACAGAGGCTTTGATTGAACCAGTCCATGTCGAACATAATCCCAAACTAAACTAGTCCCACCTGCCTGCTCTTGGCCCATATCCCTCCAAACCTTTCTATGTACTTGTCCAAATGTCTTTTAAACATTGTAACTGTGCCCATATCCACCACTTCCTCAAGAAGTTGATTCCACATGTGAACTACCCTGTGTAAAAAATTTGCCCCTCATGTCATTTTTAAATCTTTCTCCTCTCACCTTGGAAATATGCCCCCTAGTCTTGAAATCCGCCATCCTAGGGACAAGACACCTACCATTAACCCTATCTATGCCCCTCATGATTTTATAAACCTCTATAAGATCATCTCTCAACTTCCTATGCTTCAGCGAAAAATGTCCCAACCTATCCAGCCTTTCTTTATAACTCAATGCCCGGAACATTCTGGTAAATCTCTTGTGAACCCTCTCTATCTTAATAATATCCTTACTATAACAAGGAGACCAGAACTGCACACAGTATTCCAGAAGAGTCCTCACCAATGTCCTGTACAACCTCAACATAACTTTCCAACTCCTATACTCAAAGGACTGAGCAATGAAGGCAAGCGTGCTAAATACCTTTTTAATTTCCCTGTCTACATATGATGCAAATGTCAAAGAATTATGTACCTGAATCCCTAGGTGCCTCTGTTCTATCCACCCAAGGCCCTACATTAATTGTGTAAGTACTGCCCCAGTAACTGCTCAATCTCTGTTCATAAGACAACCCCCTCATCTCTGCAGTCAATGTACATATCAGCCAGATAGTGAGGAAGAGATATCTCATGAATCGTGAATAACTGCAGACTGCTGGTCAATTTCTATGGTTCTGCTATGAGATTCACAAAAATAGCATGCTGTGCCCAACCTCCCCATGACTCCTAAGAACCTTGCACATTAATTTCCCATTAAATTGGTTGCAGAAAGTTACATCTAGTAATTAAAACATGAGTAAATTTTAATGATGCAATAATTGCTAATGACTGCCAATCAACCTCCCTTTCCAGAAAATAAACCATTATTAGTCTGAAGGTCTTTTCCTTAATAGTCTGAAATTTTTTAAAAATGTCAATTTATAAATTTGTATCTTCTTTTTCCTCACTGCTCCTATCCCTCCCTCTTTTTCCTTTCTCTCTTCATTCAAACTTTCTTTCCTTTGTTTATTTCCATTGTGTTTCTTACATTACAACAGTAAGTAGAACATAGAACTGTAGAGCACAGGAAGGGGCCCTTCAGCCCACGATGTTGTTCCGAACATGATGCCAAATTAAACTAATCCTTTCTGCCTGCCCTACACAATGGTTTAAAGCCTTTTCAGATAGCCAGTGGTCATGAAAATTACTACAATGTTGGGATGTGAAGGCTGTGAAGTGCCTAAGTGGAAAATGAAGTAGCTTGCACTGAACTTTGTCAGAACGCTGTAGCAGCCTCAGGACAGAAACGTTAGCATGACACCAAGGTGGTTTATTGAAATGACAAGCAACCAGAAGGTCAGGGTCATTCTTACAGATGGAGCGGAGTTCTGTGAAGCCAGACCCTCTGAGACCTCCATTTCTAGACCTTTTTAATTGTTTGCTTCAAACTCTGACATTTTCTATTGGGGGAGTGAGGGGCACTGTGACCACTAGGAACCCTCACTGGGCACCCCCTCCGCCAGGTTGCCCATTCATGAGTACGATGCTTAGAGAACTATTATTTAATGTCATTTTCCTCCCCAGTGTAAATCACATGGTCTTGGTACAACCCACTGGTTATAGGTGAGGGAGATGATGCCTGATATTAATATTGATCAATTGGAATCAACCCTACGCCAAGTTCCAGTGGATGTGGCCAGTCAGCATTTTGGAGAGTGGCATGGGGCTGGTGTAGGACAGTTGCCAGCACTGGGTCCAAAGATTAGGCTAAAGCACGAGGTGGCATTGGGCTACTTCCTGACAAACACTTTCCCAATGTAGGGACACAAGAAAGGAATGTCCTGAAGCATTGGAGACTGAGGGGTGACCTTATAGAGGTTTACAAAATCATGGATAGGGTGAATAGCCAAGGTTTTTTTTTTCAGGTGGGGAAGTCCAAAACTAGAGGACACAGGTTTAATGTGAGAGGGGAAAGATATAAAAGGGACCTAAGGGACAGCTTTTCACGCAGGGGGTGGTGCGTATATGGAATGAGCTGTCAGAGGAAATGGTGGAGGTGGATACAATTACAACATTTAAAAGCCATTTGGATGGGTACATGAATAGCAAGTGTTTAGAGGGATATTGGCCAAATGTTGGCAAATTGGGCTAGATCAGAATGGGACGTCTGGTCACTGCAGATGAGTTGGACCGAAGGGTCTGTTTCTATGCTGAATGACCCTATTGGGGCAGCATGGTAGCTCAGTGGTTAGCGCTGCTGCTTCACAGCACCAGTGACCCAGGGATTCCAGCCTCGGGTGACTATCTCTGTGGAGTTTGCACATTCTCCCTGTGTCTGTGTGGGTTTTCTCCGGGTGCTTCAATTTCCTCCCACAGTCCAAAGTTGTGCAGGTTAGGTGGATTGGCCATGGGAAATGCAGGGTTAGGATGGGGGGCTGTGGTGGTTCTGGTTGGGATGCTCTTTGGAGGGTTGGTGTGGACCTGATGGGCCTAATGGCCTGCTTCCACACTGAAGGGATTCTATCACTATGTGTGAGGCATGGCCAAGAATTATTTGTATTTGAAAATAATTGCTGATTTCTGCTGTAACATAGAAAACAGGAGCAGGGGTAGGCCATGCAGCCCTTCTAGCATGTTCCACCATTCAATGTGATCATGGCTGATCATCCAAAACAGTCCGCTGTTCCTCATTTCTCCCCGTACCCTTTAATACCTTTAGCTCCAAGAACTATACCTAACTCCTTCTTGAAAGCATTCAATGTTTTGGCCTCAATCGTTTTCTGTTGCAGAGAATTTCACAGGCCACCATTCTGCATGTCAGTGGGATTATGGTTAAATAAAGTAGCTGCAGGTAAAGAACGTTAAGATTTGAATAAAAATTAAACATAACTATGGGTTGAGCTCACTAAATGTTAACATTTACATTCATACATCCTGTAGAATGAAGGTTGTTTGGCTCTAACGCAGGGTCTTGTGGTTATTGCAGGTTGGAACAACTGGGGTTCAATGCTTTCTTGCAGCTGATGATTGGAGTGCCCCTCGAGATGGTCCATGGGATTATGCGCATTGGGCTGCTGTACTTGGCTGGTGTTGTCGCAGGTAAGCCACTCCTTTGGTGAATCCGCACACTATTGTTTCAATCAGGTAAGTCTCACATACACAATCATAAACACACAGCAGCACTGGGTCTGGCATTTTTCACTGGCTGTTGGGACATGAGAGATTTTGGCTAGGTCACATTTCTTGTCCCTCCCTGTTACCCTGAGATGTTACAGATTGACCCCAATGACCTTTTGGTGATGTTGTTCCCACAAAAGTATTTGGTAGAGAAATCCAGGTTGTTAACCCAACGTTAATGAATAAATGGTAGTGTATAGCCAAGGCACATAGTTTGGAGTTGACAGTATTCCCATGACCTTGCTGCTTCAAAATCTCCCCTCCCCCTACCGCATCCCAAAACCAGTCCAGCTCGTCCCCGCCTCCCTAACCTGTTCTTCCTCCCACCTATCCCCTCCTCCCCGCTCAAACCCCATCCCCATCTCCTACCTACTAGCCTCATCCCGCCCCCTTGACCTGTCCATCCTCCCTGGACTGACCTATCCCCTCCCTAACTCCCCACCTACACTCACCTTTACTGGCTCCATCCCCGCCTCTTCGACCTGTCTGTTTCCTCTCCACCTATCCTCTCCTCTATCCATCTTCTATCCGCCTCCCACTCTCTCCCTATTTATTTCAGAACCCCCTTCCCCTCCCCCATTTCTGATGAAGGGTCTAGGCCCGAAACGTCAGCCTCTCTGCTCCTATGATGCTGCTTGGCCTGCTGTGTTCATCCAGCCCTGCACCTTGTTGTCTCTTGCTCTTATCTGTCTCAGGTTCTGCAGTTGAGTGTCGCTGTCAGAGTAAAGATGGAGAATTACTGCTGTAGATCCTGTAAATTCATTGCAGTGTGACAGTGAGGGAGGTGTTGGGCCAGAACAGTGAACAAGAAAAGTGTTTTGGCCACTAAGGGTGAGGTTCTTCAGTATTGCTGATACTGCATCTTTCCAAGCAAGCGGTGATGAGTATTTCATCATAATCCTGTGTTGAAAATTCAGATACATTACTCTACAAAAGCTAGCAGCAACATGTCCACCTCTTTGACTGACACCCATGCAATGCTGCTTGGCTTTCTCTCTGCAGTGAAGACAGGACTATTCTGTGTGAGTAAGTTCTGACTGAAGTTGCAATGTGCTAAAAGGCAAGGCAGGGATCCTGTGGACATCTCAGTGAGCACAAAGCGGGTGGGCGCTAACAAAGTAAGCTCAGAGTTGTAAGAGGCACTGCGTTCTGATGTATGAGATGGTTGGCTGTCCTTATCACACAGTGACCTAGCAACAGCACTGCGTCATGAGTTCTGAAGCACACTACTGAAATGTTGAACAGTATTCTGAGTTGGTCGCAGATGTTCCCTGATGACAAGGTGCAGCGGATGCTTTGCTGATGCCAACTTCCACAGGGATGGAGAGTGCAGGTGGTCACTGCCCATGGAGGTGTTGGAAACTGCTGGTCAACCTGGAAGTGCAGAGAGCTGCAGCTGATAGCTAACTGTCTTTGATGTTCCAACTTTGATGTCAGGATTTGGCGGAGTCTAGTTTCTCTCCTACACCTTGGAAAATAGCAACCTACATATAAATGAGTCGAGATTAGTTAATAGTGAGATATTAATACATGCTGGCAGGGTCCTCGGCACACTCCAGGGAAGTTCTCAACTGGCCATTAAAACCTTAAGTGGAAAAATGGACTTTCTTTTTCTCATTGAGAATCTCATTTTCTCATTCTTGCTGGGTTTTCCCAACTTTCTCGCCAGTGTCTATGTAATTCAGTGACTGGGAAAATTCCACTCACAATTCACTTTTCAGCTCGATGGCCATTGATCAGAATTTAATGTTGTGTCAAAGTCATGCTTGCAGTTAGTGGTTTCTATCTTTTACACCTCAAAAATATTCAACATTCAATATAGAATATTGTTTTTTAAGAAGTTCTTGCTAGCTGAAAGTGCTAATGAAGAATTATATAACTTTAAACTCAGCCAACTTAATTAACTGGATGATTAAAGATGCAAAGGGGTCATTTTGGAAGATATTTGAAATAGGTAATTGACAAACTATGTCAGTCCTGGTTCACTTTGTTACACATTCACCTCTGTATCACAAGGTTGCAATATCAATTCCTACTCCGGGGCTTGAGCACAAAAATCAAGGTCAACACTCCAGTGTGGATCAGAGGGAGTGCTGCACTGTTGAAAGGGCTGTCCTTTCAGGTGCAATACTGACTAGGGCAGCACGGTGGCTCAGTGGTTAGCACTGCTGCCTCACAGCACCTGGGGACCTGGGTTTGATTCCAGCGTTGGGTGACAGTCTGTGTGGAGTTTGTACATTCTCCCTGTGTCTGCATGAGTTTCCTCTGGGTCTTCTGGTTTCTTTCCACAGTGCAGAAATGTACAGGTTAAGTGGCTTGGCCATGGGAAATGCAGGTGGGTCTGGGTGGACTGCTCTTAGGAGGGTCAGTGTGGATCTGATGGGCCAAGTGGCCTGCTTCCATGCTGTAGGGGTTCTATGATAAACCAAGGCTCTGTCTGCATGCTTGAGTGAATGTTAAAAATCCCATGGAATTATTTTAAAGGAGAACAAGAGTGTTATACCTGGTAGCAGTCCAATTTTTAGCCGTCAATCATCAATATGTAAAGCAGATTTCCTGGTTTTTGGGAGGCTTCCTGAGTGCAAATTAGCTGCTGTATTTCCTACATTATAACCATAACTCCACTTGGTTGTAATGAACGTTGAAAAACATCTGGTGGTTGTGAGAAGTGCTACATAAATTTTTCTGCTTGTGAGACAAGACAGCTTGGATGGTCTGTGCTGCACAGATTGCCCACCTTTGCCTAACCTTGTCTGCAAACAAATTATGGTTTCATATGAGATTGAAGGAAATCAGGGACATCCCAGAGTAACATATATCAAGCTAATGCCTCTATTAAGGCATGCACTTACATACATGCTTCTTAAAAAGCATGATATGAAAAAATAGATAAAAATTAACAAACAGGAAAATCACCTCTATCACTGCATTGTATTGTGATCACTTTCAGAGAAACAATGATAACTAAACATCAAGAAGCTTCTTCTGAGAAAAGGAAGACACCACATTTATTCCTGACAACAATAGGAAATTGAGTGAAAGACTGCAGGATGTGTCTAAAATGCTGAATACTGCCCAATTATCCAGTACCGATGACATTTGTGGGATCTTAATTGAACAGTTCGGGGGCTAAAATGTAAACCCCCTAATTTTAATGCTGTGGATAAATACTTGACATATTTGTGTGAGATTTCTCTGTCCACTATTTAGTGCAGTTGTTAACCCATCTATTTAAAATGTAGTACAGGATGTCTTACAAATGCATTAAGCATTTGTATGCAATTAAAGGCAGTAATAATTCTACACTTCCAGTGTGAACTCACTCTCAAAGCCACAGATCAGATAGATAGCTAAAACACACTTACTTATGTGTATCTCCTTCCTCTCTCTTTCATAGCCAGGCAACCTTCCAGTTCCTTTATAAAAGTATGTAATTATTACAACATTAAAAATCATGGTGCCACCCCTTTTGAGCCAAGGAATATCTGTTCCAACTTTCAGATGATGCTCTTAACCAAGAGAGAAATAATGGTAATGGGTGCATTCAACCAGAGAGTATGTGGTTCCCATGGCATTTCTCCTTAACTTTTATTAAAAATGGATAAGCACACTCAATCTCACCCATGTTCAGAATGGCTTAGCTAATGCCTTCCCAATTTAGGGTGCAGGAAGCAATATAAAAAAGGAGCTCTCAACTTAGAAGTGTCGCTGAGTGCCATCTGCAATGATTATATTCGAAACATACAAAGAACAAGCCCGCCAATCATTCTATTATAGATTTAACTTTTAAAGGCTGACTTTCTCTGTTGTATTTTTGTAAACCCCCTTTGAATCCTGGGTATCGAATAGGAAACATTATGTACGACTAGCATAACAAGGTGTGGAGCTGGATGAACACAGCAGGCCCAGCAGCATCAGAGGAGCAGGAAAGCTGACGTTTCGGGCCTGGACCCTTCTTCAGAAATGGGGGAGGGGAAGGGGATTATGAAATAAATAGGGAGAGAGGGGGAGGCATGTATAACTAGAAATCTTTAATCAAAGTCAAAAGATCTCTTCTTTCAATGTATTAGATGATCAGAGTTCTTGATTTGGCAGAATAATCAACTTTTCTATAGAATTTGATAGTGCCTGATTGGAGACTTTTGCAGGTCCCCCTGCTTTTCCTGCATGGTTTAACCTGTCACATTCAGTTCTGGTAAAAATATTTCACACCATTGTCTCCTTTATTGTTCATTATTCTCATTAAAATTCTCTTTGCTCATTTAATTGCGCTATCTCCTCTACGGCTGTGTGCTCAACTAAAATCCTGACTCATCAGACATTGATTATAGTTCTCAAGAGGAACTGTCTTTGCCACAAAGGCCGTCATGTCTCCAGCACTGGCAGCTTCAAAGCTGCACAAGAATCACCCATTAATTTAAGTGGGTGTCTTCATCAAGAGAGGAACTTTAATTTCAGTTGCACTTGACACAGTTCAACTCATGTGGTGTGAGTGCTGTGTCTGAGTAAAAACTATTGTCCCTTCTGTCCCTATATATTTATTTCCATTTCCCCCCACTCTTCACCCCTACAGAAGATATTGACTCATAATCTTCATGTGCGGGGTAAATCTTTCCATTTCAATTCCATGCCATTGATCTGAGTAGGATAATAGGTCGGCACAACATCGTGGGCCGAAGGGTCCATACTGTTCTATGTTCTATGTTCATTGTAAATCTGTAAGGTGTAATGCGGGCTGTTAACTGGCTACCATCCATTTTATCACATCTCATAAAGTCAAAAAGAGGCCTGAATGTCAAAAAAATGATTTAACTGTAGGGGACAACCAAGCCTACCCTGGCTGATTTTTCACTCTGCCTTGCACAGGAATGGCGAGCCCTACTGCAGCAAACCTTAGAATCTCTACAGTGTGGAAACAGGCC